GTTTTCTTTTTGCAGGTCATTGTAAGTGAATGTATTATGCATTACTCCGACAACAAAAGTAATTTAATTCCTCATTAGACTTAACAGCTTTGTGAAAACAGTGGGCTTGTGTTAAAGGCCCAGTTTTCTTCTCCTTGTAATACGAGATTTTTGTCAAGGTTCACTAATTGGAAAGGTGATGTAAGAAGTGAATGCGTAATGAGACATGATGACGGGCTAGCCCATGGCCCGTTCCCACTCAGCCCTCCTCACCTTCATCCAAACGCCAAGGATTTAGCCTCGGTTAGTCAGGGCATCTTCAAACCTGGGCTGTCCCAGCTGAGGGAAGGGGCCAGCCACGAAGCGGACGCAGGGTTTGGTCTGCTGAGCTGCCAAAGGCACAAGGCCAGCCAGAGGCAGACGAGGACAAGTCGGTCCCCGCTGAGCACGTTTGCGGGAGGGCACATTGGCCGGCCTGCCACGGGCCCGGGGAAGCCTCCTCTGTACCCCTGGCTGTGGGGCACCCTTTGTCCCCCAAAACCTGCCCTCGGCAGCGGCGCAGGCCTGGGGTGCAGCCGCCCTGTCCTGCAGAGCCCGGGGAGGTAGATGGCAGTCTTGGTTAGCATCATCGGCGCAGCACTCGGCAGCGATGCTCTGCTATTGAGCATCGCCGCTGGAAAAGCGAACGCTGCCTCCAGGCAGGTAAAGGAGTTCTCCTGAAACCCAGCTGACCCCAAAAAGAGGAAATTGCAGGTCAGTATATTGAGCAGTTAATGGGCTTTTATCTTGCAAACAATGGCAGGGCTGCTACTGAAAGTTTCTCATCAGCAGAGACACAGGATTTTGCACATAGAAAGGGAAATCAGATGTCCCTGGGAATTTTTGTTTCGTGTGAAATGGCACAGCCGGTACTCATAGACTGGAGGATCACATCCCGGCAGGGAGCCATTCCTCTCACAGCTGAATCAGATTTGAAGTTAAATTCCCTGTATGAGGAGCAAAACTGCTTCCCTTTCATTTGCCCGCCTGTCCGTTCCATCAGAGTGAGTGAATGCAGATGCTCAGGGATACCTCCACAGCCCAGCTTAGAGGGATTTGAAACCTCCTTAGCGCCCAGCAGAGCTGTGCAGATGGAAATCTAAAACAAGATAGCAGGCTATATATCCTGGCCTGAAAGCCATGTTCAGCTGCATTTTTTTGACTGGGGGGGGAGGAACCCTCAGCAAGCAACGTTGCAGGAACATCCTCACCAGTGACTGCACTGGCTGGGTCCAGGGGAGCACCAGTGGCATCTGGCACATTAAGTAGATTTTCATGTTAGTTCAACCTGCCCAAAGACAGGTTTGGATGTGTGGGAGGTGGGTCTGAGAGAGCTCTGCGGCTGCAGCAAGTGCTCAGCAGGA